AGAAAATGATGGTTGAAGTCTGCCAATCAAAGTCATGCAGTTATTAAGCCAAATAACATGCATTGATAGTGACACGTTTTTATCCAGACAGCAGATGAAGTTTCTTAAAGCTTCACTCTCGGTCATGGACTGCATTTTGTAGAAGCATGTTTGGGTGAACTGAGCGTGCATCCTCAGTGCCCTGCAACATCTGTCTTTTATTACCAGACGTCCTGATATCCAGATGGCAACAAAGTATTCTGAGTGCCCTGAAACGGATTCGGCTCCTTATTCCTCTCTTAAATCATAATTTTATTGTGACATCAGGTTCGCTTACAAGTAACATTTTTATTTCCTGGACAGACAGGCAGCTCTTCACTCTAATACAGATTCTGTTTCCATACATACGTCCCAAGTAAGAAAAATACCTGAAACTAGTATGCATGCAAAATTCATATGAAATAAAACCTTTTCTGACCCTTAAAACGCAGCACCAAAACATGCACAACCTTCTAAGATTAAACGTTTTACTTTTTCAAGTCACCTAATTAACATTTTATTAGCAAAGTGTCCGTGTGCAGTTAGGACCAATACAACCCCATTTAAAAAATTAAAGGTTTTTTTCCCCCTAATTATGCTGTGCTTCAGCTTCTACGTTTAACACCTTTTAAGTAACTGTTAATCTTAAGATTCTGCACTGGCAAAAAAAAAAAAAGGATAAAACTGCAGTGTTTCTGAAATACAGGGGTACCTCGTTCTTTAGAAGCACTTCTATGCCCCGGCCCCTGCTTTGTCAGTGTGTGTGAGAGGAAAGCAAACTTTAATCACTCACAGAGGCCAGGGTCAAGGTTCACACTCCAGCCCCGGGGAAACCACCAGCCACGGAGGGAGAAGCAGGGTCTGTGGGACCAGGGATTCTGTTCAAAATCAGGTATGGACCTGGAAACGAAATCTGGAATTGTAAGCCAGCCCCCAAGAGCGCCAGGACTTTCGCGGGTCTGCCATCCTCTGCGCTTGGAGACGTGGGGCATTCTTTCGTGGGGAAGGCAGCAGATCCTGCCACAGGCCGGCCCTCAGCTATTGATTGCCGCATCTTTTAAAAATGCACAGCAATCGGTCGGTCGATCAGGCAGAGGTGAAACTCTCCTTCAGTACCACCGACAAAAACTGCTCAGACAAAGCCTGGGAGGCAGCCGTGCGCGGCGCCGGAGCACGGTTTTCTGCTCGGGTCGCGGCGAGGGGCGACTCCACCTTGGGGCGGAGCGCAGCCGCCGCTCCCCTGCCCCGCGGCCTCCCGGCTCGTCCCCCCGGACGCGCCGGGCCCCGTGTCCAGCCGCACCGCACACAATGGCGCCCCGAGCTCCCGCCAGCCGGGCCTCGCGCCGCCCGCGCGCCCCCCGCGCGCCCCCCGCGCGGGCCGCGCTCCCGGGTCCGCGCACAAAGGCGGCGCGTGGGCTCCTCCGCGCCCCGCGACCCCGCGCCCGCGCGTCTCCGCGCACCCGCGGCCGCGGCGCCCACCGCCCGCGGCCCGAGCGCCGCGGGGGCGCGAGCCCGGGCGGCACTTACTTTCTCGATGGCCCCGGGCAGCAGGCGCTCCAGCAGCCTGCAGAGGACCACCCCGTCCTTCAGAGACGCCTGCAGGAAGCCCTCGGGGTCCGAGATGGTTTTCTTGGGCGACTCCAGCACCCCCAGGGTGATGAGCCACGTAACGGTCTGCTCGGCGGAATTCATAGCGGCGGCGCGCCCGGCCTCCGCGCGCCGCGAGCCCGTCCGGGCGCCGTTCACCTCGCAGCGGCCGCGGCCCGGCCGGCTGCGCCCCCCGCCCCCTCCGGCGGGCCCATGGAGAGGCCGGCGCGGCGACTGGCCCGGGCGGCGCCGCGGCCCGGCCGGCTCGCGCTCGCTCGCGTGCGTCCCGGCCGGCCGTCAGGGGCCTTCTCATGGGAGGCACGGGAGCCCGCGGCGGCCGCCCGGCGCCGCCCCCGCCGCCGCCCCCCGGCTCCCGGCCGCCGCCGCCGATGACATCACCGCGAGGAGGAGAAAAGACGCGGCGCCCCAGCGGCCCCGCGCTCGGGCCCGCCGCGCGCCCCCGCCCGGCCGGCCGTGCGCGCCCACCTGCGCCGCCGTGACCTCCGGGGCGCCGGCCGCCTTAACCGCTTGCGCCCCGCGGACGCCGGAGCGCGCCGGGAGGGCCTCGCGCGGCGCCCCTGACTGAGTTTCTTGGTTCACCGAAGCTTCGAGTATCAAGTGCTTCCCAGAGCGCTCCTTCGATTTTTGCCAGTTTTATTTCGGGCGGGGGGCGGGGGGGCGGTGCCGAAAACGAGACCTTTGCTTCCCCCGCCACCTCGCAAGCCAGCGATTACAGAACACAAATGATCACTAAATCTGGGAGCACGTGGGCCTAATTCGGGGAGGAATTGATTTCCCGGGAGCTGCTGCGATCTTGGGGACACGGACGCCCCGGAGCGCGCCGCTGTTGCGTGCGCCCCTGCCCGGAGGCCTGCTCCCGCGCGCGTGACCTCAGCGCCCGCCGGGCTGCCCCCCCCCCCGCAGGACCAGCAACCTTGGAGTGACCCCGCTTGAAACGGAGCGTGGCGTTTGGAGCACCGTGGCAGGAAGCTCAGGAAAGCAGCAGAGCCTGAACTGTGTGTGTGTCTGTGGCCGGGAGGGAAGGGCTGAGAACGCCTCCGTCCGAACAGGCCACTTGGCCCGAAGATGCTCGGTTGGCCACGGGGCCGTGAGTGCACGCGCCAGACTGGAAGAACTCGGACATCCAGCTGTCCCACAGTGACTTGGACACACGCATATGACCACAGGAGAGAGCCCCTTCTTACAGGAAGGACGGCGTAAAGGACACTGCCCAGTACACGTGTGTCCCTTTACTCCCTCCACAGTCCCGAGGGCTTTCCCTACTTGCTTCCCTGAAGGCCTTCGGCAGTTGAAAACAGCATTAGCAGAGCTTACTGTATGCCAGGCACATATTTAGCCCACTTAATGACAAAGGCTAGAAGCCATATAGAAGTTTTTTAAAATACAGGCTTACCTCCCTCTTTCTTTGCCATCGTTAGTCCAGAGGACTTCAATGGCCATCATGAGTTGCATGGATTTCCAGCTTTGAGCTAAGCAGTTACATTTGCAAACACACAGTCATTGAAAGGGCGGCCACATCCTCGGTGGCCATAGTTACCTCTTGTTGAGCTCACCAGGGCTCTGCCAGAGCTCCTTCCTGGCATCACGTCACACCATCATTAGTGCAGTCTTACAGAGTTTGTCTCCTCGTCCCCGTTGTACCACACCCGAGTGGTAGAGAGATGGGACTCAACACATCACCTGTTTCTAGACAGCTTCTCTATACGCTTTCCAGCAAACAGAGCAGGTAAGACTTTTGTTAAGGTCTGTGCCCAAAGACTATCAACAAAGGGGTATTGGGGCCCCTGGGTGGCTCAGTCAGTTAAGCGTCTGCCTTCAGCTCAGGTCTTGATCTCAGGGTCCTGGGATCAAGCCCCGCATCAGGCTCCCTGCTCAGTGGGAAGCCTGCTTCTCCCGCTCCCCCCGCTTGTGTTCCCTCTCTCTCTCTTTCTCTCTCTCTCTCTATTAAATAAATAAATAAAATCTTAAAACACACACACACACACAAAGGGGTATTGACCTAAGCATGGTTGTCCACTGAGATTCCTGTTTACTCTCATTACTGCTGAATTGAAGAAATAATTTAGAATACAGCCATTACAATTTCAAATTACATTAAGTTGGGTCTGGTGCTTATAATCTGATAAACAAGACTAAGATTCAACTTGACTCAACCAAATAATCCTAAAGAAAGGCAGCTCTAGGGAGTGGCATTAGGTGACCAATAACTGGGCAGCCAATTATTGTCAGAAGGGAGACCCACTGTAACTGATCTTAGAAGTCCCTGAACATTTCAATGTGGCTACTGGGGGCATTCTTTTACCTTGGATGGACATTTATTTCAAAAAAGTTTACTTGGAAGGGATTCATTCTAGAAAGTAACGTTTTTCAAAGCTAGGTGTTTTTAGGTGTTTGAGCTATTTTAGTATCCAAGGTGTGCATTTGGTTAAACTTACCATTTTTCCAAGTTCCCATTACAGAAGGCACGGGCTGTGGAGAAGAACTCATTGTTCTGTTGGGTTGGAGCCAATTAAGGTTGTTGTCGAGAGAGGATTTTGGTCCTGTCTGTGGATGCTCTTTGACTCCCCCCAGAAGAGTGTGGAACAGCTCTCAGCGCAGGCATGCCTCCTCTGGTTCCCTCATCTCTCACGAGAGGGTTTAGCTTCACACCCCACGTGGCCCCTGCTATCCCTCAGAGCCCCAGCCCTGGTCAACACTGTGGTAGACCCACCATCAGCTGCCCCCAGTAGCTCAGCTGAACCCCACCCGAGCTCAGCTGAGTGATGGCTGATCCATTGGCTGGCTTGTTGGTACTTGGAGGATGGTCTCTCCCCCAACCTGAAGCCAGATGGGCAGATGGCGATTGGCCTTCACTCCGGACTGGAGGGGGGGGAGGTTATTGAATTAGACCATCATGTAGATGGAAACACGCATTAAGAAGCAGTTCTATGAAGCTCATCTGAGCTACTGTAGGTATGTTACTGAAGGCATTCCTTTTATTAAACAGTGTCCTATTTATTTGGCATAAATATGGTCAAATGCTAAACATGAAAGGTGCAAGGCAGGAAAAAAGTTTATAAACATACATGGCTGAAAATTACACAGGATCAGAAGACATCTTACCAATACACTATTTTATGAAACATCACATCAACCAGAAGCTTATCCTAGTGTGGGTTCCCCCAGAAGCAGATCCTGAGCCAACAACTGGGTGCAAGCAATTTATTTGGGACGCAATCCTGGAAAGGACAGATGAAGAAAGGGAGAAAGTGAAACAGGGAAGAGACAGAAGTGAATCAAAGATGTGTAGGGAGTAGCTGGGGCCCAGCTCCCCTGGGGCCTCTGAGAACCAGCATGGGCAGGCCCCAGAGTCCTCTGACCAGGGGACGGGCAGGCTAAGCTTCATCCCTCCATTCCCATCCCCCTGGATTGCGGGTCTCCCCTGGGGCGTGGCCTCCAACTTCGCAGAGCCTCACGTCATGAGAGCAGGAAGCACAAGGGCCCCGTGTGGACCACTGGCGGTGAGCGGTGGTGGTGGTGGCAGTGGGCGGAGGTGAGCACTGGCGGAGGTGAGCGGCGGTGAGCGGTGGCGGTGAGCGGTGGCGGTGAGCGGAGGTGAGCACTGGGGGAGGTGAGCGGCGGTGAGCAGCAGTGAGCGGTGGCGGTGAGCAGAGGTGAGTGGTGAGTGGAGGTGAGCACTGGCGGTGAGCACTGGCGGAGGTGAGCGGCGGTGAGCGGTGGTGGTGAGCGGAGGTGAGTGGTGAGCGGAGGTGAGCACTGGCGGTGAGCACTGGCGGCGGTGAGCGGTGGTGAGCGGTGGCGGTGAGGGGTGGTGGTGAGCGGAGGTGAGCACTGGGGGAGGTGAGCGGCGGTGAGCAGCGGTGAGCGGTGGCGGTGAGCAGCAGTGAGCGCTGGCAGAGGTGAGCGGCGGTGAGCGGTGGTGGTGAGCGGAGGTGAGTGGTGAGCGGAGGTGAGCACTGGCGGTGAGCACTGGCGGCGGTGAGCGGTGGTGAGCGGTGGCGGTGAGGGGTGGTGGTGAGCGGAGGTGAGCACTGGGGGAGGTGAGCAGCGGTGAGCGGCGTCAGTGAGCGGTGGGGAGCACTGGCAGAGGTGAGCGGCGGTGAGCGGCGGAGGTGAGCACTGGTGGTGAGCGGCGGTGAGCTATGGCGGAGGTGAGCGGCGGTGGTGAGCAGCGGTGAGCGGTGGCGGTGAGCGGAGGTGAGTGGTGAGCGGAGGTGAGCGGAGGTGAGCGGTGAGCGGAGGTGAGCGGAGGTGAGCACTGGCGGAGGTGAGCGGCAGTGAGCAGCGCCGACGCTGCTTCTACCGCTTGGTGCCGGACACTGCTTCCAGACCCTGGGGCACGACACCTTGTAAAAGCCGTTGGTGCGGCGTATTTGCTGCATCCTGAGGGCAGGTCTCTAACCTGAGGACGTCAGCGGCAAGTTGGCTCCCTGCAAACCCCCATCCCGGGAGATGAACTGCTTCTCCCTCCAGGCCTGGGGCTTCCGACGTCACCAGCTCGCCGCCAAGCAGCTGGTGTTACCGAATAGTGGTCAGAATCTGCCTCTACTGCGGGCAGCTAGGTCAGCCTGGGTGAGAGGGATCCCTGCTGGAGGTCTCGCACACCTCCACCCCTGCTGGAGGTCTCGCACACCCCCACCCCTGACGCCGCGGTCGCAGGGGCCAGGCGAGGCCCGAGCGGCTGCCCCAGCTACACATGTGCCGTTGGCGTGCCTGCCTGCTGGGTGCGCCTTCCTCCCTGATGCTCTCTGGAGACTGAGGCAGGAATCAGGACCCACAGCAGCCCCCCACCTCCTTGTGAGGCCCACCTTGCCGGTTCCAGGCCCCCAGACGAGGAGCCCTCCACCCTCCCCGTCCATGCATGCGCGCCTGCCCCGGAGGACCGGGGAGCCGCTCCAAGCTTCAGTGACCCGAGGGCTTCTCCTCCCCTCGTCCTGTGCCCGCCTGGAGCCGGACGGTAGCGTGGCAGCAGTCCGTATGTCCTTTCGTGGCTCACACCAGGTTAGCAAAGTCACAGGCACAAGCCGAGCGGCTTTGGGAACCCGGCCAGTGGAGGCAGGTGACTCGGAGGTCTGGGCCATTTGTGTCAACAGCTTACTCGTGGCCTCTGGCCCTGCTCCCGCCCAACCTCAGCCCACCCCGCTCAGCAGGATGCATGGCAGCTGTGCCGGCTCCCGGGGCGTCGGGAGAACGTCTTCTCGGTAGCCCTCTTTCAGGCACTCTAGCTGCCTGGGTGAGGAGTAAGCTCTCTGAGACCCTCAGTGCAGCCCAGCCGAAGGAGCCACCTCTGCCTGGACCGCGGGCTGGCTCAGCACCAGCGTGCTAGTCCTGAGATAGAAGCGCCATCATAGCCCAGACCCTCGGCCTTATCTGCCTCTCCCACCCCACCCAGCTACCCACCCTCATAGGCAGTGGTAGCTCAGCACATGCCTGCAGCGCCTCTGACGAACGAGTCTTCCTCCGACAGCTGCTGTGGTGTGCCCTCCAGCCCTGCTGATGCTTGTCCAGTTGTTGGTCTAGAGCCTTGAGTGAAGACAGCCCCCATGCCACGCCACAGGGCCTTTGCACATCCCAGGCAATGGAAGGCTGCACTTCCCTAGCAAAGGAAAGGGGCCATTTCTCTTGGCTTGGAGAGATCAGGGAATCAGGGGTCCACGTTTCTCAGAATCTCCACCCAGAGCCCCCCTTCCAGGTCTCAGGGACTCTTCCCCCCCCCAACCCAGCCCTGGACTCAGCCCCAGAGGTCTGCCCAGGTGGGGAGCTCCACTGCTTTGCAGACTGGGCACATCTATGATGAGAGCTGAGCCCTCTTGCTGCAGGGGATGGATGATTTCTCACACTGCCGGGGGGGAGGGGTTCAAGGGGTGAGGTCCCAGAACTGTCACGTCTTTCTCCCGAGACTTCCCAGTGACCACAGCTGACTCTGAGTCCTCACAACTGTCACTGCTCCGTGTCCTCAGGCACTGGGGTGGCTCCACACACTAATGCTTCCTTTGCACCTGCTCCGCACTCCGTCCAGCACAGACAGGAGTGTAGCCATTGCGAGGCACGGAAGACGGGGAGGGTTAGCACCCCTTCATGCAGCACGAGCAATAGTGTCTGTGACGGTTCATTTCATGTGCCAACTCAACGGGGCCACAGAGCGCCCAAATATTTGGTCAAACATCATTTGGGGTGTGTCTGTGAAGGTGGTTTTGGCTGAGATTAACATTTGAATCAGAAGACTGAGCAAAGCAGATTGCCCTCCCCCAACATGGGTGGGCCTCACCCAATCAGTCGAAGGCCTGAATAGACCACAAACACCAGCCCTCTCCCCTGAGTAGGGGAGATTCCTCCAGCAGATGCCTTTGAAGTGGAACATCGATTCCACCTGGGTCTCCAGCCTGCAGGCCCACCGGCAGATTGGACTTACCAGCTTCCATAATCCTGTGAGCCCATTGCTTATAGTAAATCTCTTTACACATGTCTTACTGGTTGTGTTTCTCTGGAGAGCCCTGACAGTTAAAGCATCCTGCGGCTGGGCTGTCTGGCTGGTGAGCGATGCGAGTGTGGATTCCCTGCCTGTGTGTCCGCTTCCCAAGTTCACTTTGAAACCACCTGCCTTGGTTTGGGCTCCCCCAAACGCAGACCCTGAGACAGAGCTTCAGTGCAGGAGGCGTATTTGGGGGTTGAGCCCAAGAAGCACAAAGGAGGGAGTGGGGGAGATGAGGGAGGGAGGGAGACAGTCTGCAACAGAGGGTGAACTCAGGAGTGGGAGCCGCAGTAAGAACACTCTAGGGGCCCTGTAGTAGTTTGCTGTGCTGACCACAACAAAGCACCATGACCCGCGAGACTTAGAAGCAGCAGAAGTTGATCTCTCACAGTCTGGAGGCCAGAGTCCAACATCGAGGTGTCCAGCAGCATGAGGCAGGGCTCCAGCATCCGTCAAAGAAGACCAGCAGAGTTGGTAAAGCATCACTGTGAGCTCAGAAGCTTCCTAACATCTCTGTTTCGTGTTTGTTGGGAGACGTTTCTCCACGAGTCTCTCACCTTTCTGAGGAGCTGGGCAGAGGTAATGACAGCTTTTGTTCTGACTGTCCTTTCTAGAGTGTTTTGGAACAAACGTCTTCACACATAGAGACATCACTCTGCCCCCACCCCACCCCACCCCCGGGCAGAGGGCACATTTGCCTGCTGACCTACAGACTGAAAATAATGTCTCCTGGGGGACACAGTTTGGGCCAGTGTACTTGCAGTCCCTTTAAAGGTTGGGGTGGCTAAGCTCTGGCTCTGCGGCAGGGACACAAGCCAGCTGTGTGTGTGGCACCACCCCCCACCCCTGGGGCCCACCCCTGCATTACCTTGGACTTGGGAGCAAAACTGGGTCCCATGCTGCCTGCTTGGCCGTGAGTCCCACGGTCCCCGGTGTCCAACCTGGCGGTCACCCACGACCTCCAGCTAATTCTATTAGCCTTCACGCAGGCTAAAACCCCAGACCCACAATGGTCCTCATAATGCCAGGGTTCACTCCCTGGGATGAACGCTCAATGGCTTTCTTCTTTCTGAACAGGGCTTTCACGGGGCCCCTGAGTTTTATTAGGAAGAGCTCCTTCTTCATTGCCTCCACAGGGATTTGTAATCTCCCTTTGATTTCCTCTCCAATCAAATATTTATCTAAGAATATGTTTCTTAATTACCAGGAAATCGAGACTTTGTTGGCCATTGAATATGATTAGGCAGCTGAGCCTAGAAATCTCTGCTTTCCGAAGTTGGCTAAAGACATTGACTGATCCATGATCATATATACGAAAGGATGTACATACTCTGTTCAAGAGGTGATATACTTATTATGTGCAGGTTTTGTGCTTTTTTAAGAACTTTTTATTTCAAAATCATTTTAGAAGCACAATGGGTTTCAAAGCTAGTATAGAGAGGTCCCATGTGGACTTCGGCCAGCTCCCTTCAGGGACGATGCGCCACATAACGAGAGCGCATCCCTGTGCGGCACGGCTGTAATGTGGTTCACCGAACCGCGGGCACTGTTCGGGTCTTGGCAACGCTTCCGTATACTCCTGTACGTTCCATCACACGCGTGTGCTGGGTCACCAGCGCAGGGAGGCTGCAGACCGCTCCGTCCGGGGCCACCCCTCGGCAGCCCCAGCCTGCCCGCCAAGCCTCTGAACCTCATCCCACCTCTGTCAGTTAGACATGCCCAATGCTCCGAGACACAGATGTTAAATGAAGTTTCCCTAAAATTTAAATCCTTTTAACATGTTATATATGATGTTCAATGCACAGGTTAGGTGAAGACTTGTATCTTTTTCACAAATTATGCCTTAAGTTAGTTCATATGGTTCATCCTTCTCCAATGACTTCTTTTATCCTGAGTTTCAGCTTCTCTGAAGGGAAAACGTCCATTTCCATTCCTGTTTTCCTCTTCCTTGTGCCCAGGTCCGCATTTTCAACCTCGCGTCATCACCTGGAGTTAGACTGTGTAAAGAACATAAACTGGGGCTTACTTTCTAGGGCTCTTTGCCTGTTTCTGGTTTGTTTATTTGTTTGTTCATTAAAAACATTTTACTTTACTTAAAAAGTACTCATTTTGTTTTAAATAAATTTTTATTCATTTTATATTGATGTTTTCTATTTTTCTTCTCTGTGTTTTCAAATTGCTTTGGTTTAAAGAAGAAAAAAGATTTGTTCAAATCACTCTCCATTCCATTTTTTGTCTCTTTTTAAAATTTAAAAACTGAATCATAATCTTCCATTTAATAAGTGGCTCTCTCTCCTTCCTTAGCTGATTGTCAGACACAAATCCCCATATTGAAAAGTAAGAGTCCACAACACTATGAGCTCCCCCTTCCTCCTGCTACCTGCCCTCTGAGAGCGGCTTCTGGAACATGATAGCTTCTCCTCCTCATCGGCCCTCAGGCCCACAATTCCCAATGCCCCTTTCTTCCCCCGATTGTACTTTGTGATCAGTTAGTTTAGTTTTAAACCATCACTAGTATTTTATTTGTAGAATAGATCTTTCCTGGGAGTTTTTATTTAGCACTAATATTGCACATATCCTGGCCTGCGCGTGCGTGTGTGTGCGTGCATCTCCATATCCTGTTCACCTCCATTTCCTCTTCTTCTCTGCTTCATGCATCCTCGACTTCATGTGCTCTTGGAGTCAAGTCTCAGGTATGTCCCTCTGGTGGGGCCATGTTTGTAAACACGCATTTACCCCCTGACCGGTGAATGGTGTTTTGGACGGGCGGAGAGTTACCGGCCGCAGTTCTCTGTTCTCGGTAGATGGCCGTGCCCCCCACTGTCTCCCAGCCTCAGGTGTGCAAGTAGGGAGTCCTGGGCTACTTTGGGGCTGTTGCTCTCTGTAGATAACTTGTTCTTTTGGTGGAGA